ACAATAACGAGATGAATAAAACGAAATGGCAAAGATGCAGTAGAGCAGCATGCAAATAATTGGAATGAAATAGCTCAAGATTGGCAGGGACGTAGAAGGATGATAAAGATCTACAAGCACTCAAATGCCAACAGAAAAAAATTATCATAGGTGTATTATAGTAATAATAATTATATTTAAATTAATAATAATTATTATGATAAAGCCGAGTATCATTACGATGATTGACAGCCACAAAATAATGGTAAGACTAGAACAAAAGATTGAGCAAACAATTTTAAAATGTATGCTTAATGATGCAGCAAAATGAAATATGACAGAAGATGATTAAAGAACAATCTAATATAAAACAGAAGTTATGAAAAAAAAAAATACTTATATTATTTAAGAGTATGTTACAATTGTATTCAAGAAAATACATTTAATTTCAGACCTGATTAGAAATTGCTCATAAAGAAAACAATAAGTAAGATTTTAGCTTTTCAATTGATCTCAACATTGTATTCAATTTAGGTATATAATAAAAAAAAAAATATCGGTTTTTTAAAAAAAAAATTTTCTCATTTCACGAGCATTTCTGCATTCTATCTTATGAATGGTGCATTGCCGTTCACCATTTTATTTCAAAACTAACGAAATTAGGAAAGCATTGTATTCGTGCGAGGGGTTAAAAAAAATGTGCTCAGAATCGAAAATTTTTACTCAAGTTTTAGGTTTCTATATGAAATATAAACAAATATAAGGAGTTGGTCCAGGGGTTGCGGTCAAATGAATACTATATATTAAAATATATAAATATATTAAAATATATATAAATTTAAAATATAGTTGCTCTCAGACTGCTTTCAGAACTCTATTATAAATGTTATTTATTGAGACAGATTGTAATATTTATCAATAAACAAATTAAAAAAAAAAAATATATATATATATATAGTATTCAACTCCTTCTCATGTTATGAGCCTTCTTTTCCAGTGTCACTCTTTTCGGATTAAAAAAATTTCTTGACACTTAATTATTTATTATAATCAAATAAATAAGTGGAATATACCATATTGAAAGAAAATGGCAAGTGCCAAACAAAATAAATACAACAAAATAGAAAGCTATGAAAATACATAGTAATTAATAGTTTGAAATAATCTTTTCACTATTATGCCGGAGAACTCCAGAAGACGACTGAATAGGATCTGTATAAGAGACCTACTTACAAATTTGTGCAAGTAAGTAAAAGCCATGGAAGGAATGTCGCTGGGTATTGCTTTTCGTCATACCTAACTAGCTTTTTTATATTTTTTATTTTAATTTTCTCATGGTTATGGCAGCCCATCTACTGATTGGTTGTAATTGACTGGTGCAAATTAATTAATGTACGTGCTGAAAAAAAAAAAAAAATTTTTGTACCGTCTGTAGTTTTTACTTTCACTTTCCTAACTTGTAAAAATAAAACGAAATACTTTAAACGAGCGACTTAAAAATACTATACTTCCCTTTTTACAAATCGAAATTGAAAATCACACAACAATTAAATATCGTACAGTTACATACTTAAACCCATATGGACGTACGCTTCACAAATTTAAAATTCTGCAAACAAGTTGCACTTATTTATTTATTTATTTATATGATATTTACAACTGTATACAAAAAATACATCTAGTGAATTCGCACATGGATATAATGACATGAAACACATGTTGAGAAACTACCCATTGGTAGAACTCTAATAATATGTCTATATTAGGAGATCGCGTGGCCATCTCCTTTTCAGACGCCTCAGAGGGTTATCTGGAATTGAATAGGAAGCAAGGTTACAAACAAGAGGGTTGGGATGGTTATGAAGTTTATTATGGAAGGATAGGTATCTGGATTCGGCCAAATTGGAAACATATGGAACATTGAGGTCTTTATGGATTATTTTATTTGTGACAAAGTAAGGAGCATTGAGGATTTTACGAAGGATTTTGGATTGTAAAGATTGGATACGAGAGGAATTTGATGGTTTAGTGGAACCCCATAGTTCAATTCCATAAGTCCAAATAGGTCTTGTTATAGTCATGTATATGAGTCGTAAGTTGCACTTAAATTACAATAATTTTAATCCAAAATTGTAAGACTAATAACAGCAGCTTCATGTTAGGTTAACGAGAAAACTTAACTCACCGAATTACGGCAACCAACTTTCGGCCAACACAAACGTATTCTCTGTTAACGAATTCATCTCAAACTATACAGACATCACAACGGACTCATCAACGAAATGGAAACAACTGAATAGAATATCAGGAGGCAAGTGAAAAGAAGCTGGATAAGAGATTTCTTGAATTCAAGAAGAATTCATGGATAGCATGCGATTTTCCAAATCCATAGCTCATCTGCTTATTGTCAAATAATTGCTAGGTGCTGATTTAGATTTTAAGAGAAAACTTAAATTAAATTTAAAAAATTAAATAATACATTTTAAAAATGTGTCTAACATAATTATTCATTCAGAATAGATTTTTTTTTAATGAAAAAGTGAACGAAATTTATTTTATGTAAAAAATCAAAAAAAAAAAAAATGAATAGTTAGTTAATACCGCTTGTGATTAATGTAACTGTTTTTTATCTGAGGAGAACCTTGAATAGAGAAATATAAACTGAAAATTAATTCTAAATATCTCTAAGAAGTATAATTTTATGCTAGTGAACAGTAATTGAATTCATAATATAGGTCAGGCTATAGTTACACTGATTTCACTGATCGTAATATCTGTCGTAAACTGCTGGCCTTGTCTCTACAAGGACATGCCACGGTACGCCCATTCACAAAACGATCGCTGCGTGCCTCTCAATGATTTTACAATTACAGGCATAATCGATTTCTTCCATTTAGCTCTCTCGTAATAGTTTATTATAATACTAGCTCCATGAAGCAGACAGTTATATAGTTTCATAGGATTTATATTTCATATAGGAACCAGTTCCTGTTAACCTTTTTTACTCAATTAATATTTACTTCTGTATTTGTCGCTATGTAATTCATATATCATATTGCATACCATTTATGTGTAATACAAATGAACATAAAACAGAGAAACTCATAAAGATATCTTTAATAATTTATTTCACTATCAAACTCATAATATCAAGGGTGGATGTAAAGTGGTGATTAGTGATTTATTCAATATTGAGAATGTTTGAAAATAGCTAGAACAAATGTATATATAAAAAAAACAAACGTAGCTGATAAATTGTATAATTAACATGTGAAACTTATGAATATTCAGATTTATGGTAAAAAAAAAAATAACATTATTAAAGAATTTCAAATGAAACTTCATAGAAAATGTTTATTTTTGTTGCCTCTATCCTGCAGAATCATTGGCAACGAATCTTATAGAGTTTTATTATTTTTAGAAGGCCCAATATTTTGCACCACTTTTTCGCTGTCGTTGAAGTTTTGTGCCTTACGGAATTGAGATTTGGAGCTCCACTAAACAATTCCTCTCCTATCCAATCCTTAAAATCCAAAATACTTCGTAATTTCCTCAATGCTCCTTACTTTGTCATAACCAAAATCATCTGTAACGACCTTAATGTTCCGTATGTTTTCGATTTGGCCCAATCCAGATACCTGTCCTTCCATAACTGTAGAACCATCCGAACCCTCTCGTTTCAAACCTTGCTTCTTCCTCGAGCCCTGATAACCCTCCGAGGCGTAGGAAAAGAAGATGGCATTGGGATCTTCTAATATAGAACTTTAATTTGAATTCTACCAATGGGTAGTTTCTCTTCATGTTGTACATGTCATGTTACCAATTTCACATTTAGTTATTGTATTTTCTATGTAATACAGTTGTAAATTCCATATTTGCCTTATGGAATAGAGATTAGGGCCTCCACTAAACCATCAAATTCCTCTCATATCCTATCCTTACAATCTAAAATCCTTCGTTGTATCCTGAATGCTCCTTACTCAACTCTCAACAATCATTTTAATGTTATTATATTCCTGAGTGCACATTTACTAAATTAATTTTTTTAATAGTATAAATATCATATACAAATAAAATAAAAAAAGCTTTGTGCCATATTCCATTTTTTCTTAGTTAAAATCTCACAATGTCTAATTCTTAATCTGCAGAGGGCAGTATCTTCAGTCCTGAAGAGAAGTTTCGCAGAGTTCTAAATAAACATAGAGGAATAATATTTTTTTAAAAAATAATTGCTATTTATATATTAAAATAATTTAAAATATTGTAAGGCTTGTAAAAAAATAAAATAAAAAACTAAGGTGAGTGCTTTAGATCATACGATATAAGGGAAAACATCAATAAGCCGAGATTAATAATATATAATATAAATTATGAATAATAGCTCAACTTAAAGAGGATGAAATGCTGAACATTTCCCTCGCTAATAGTATACAGGTCCGATTTTTAGTTTCAGAGATATTTTAATCCATATCTTCAATAAAACTCGTTATTATTTGGCTTCCGACATTATTTTTTGCATCACTCTCCACAAAAAAAAGTACAAAATACGCTTAAAGATGTTCTCACTTAAAAAAAAAAATTGTTACAGTGACAAATCTATTCATTTTACCTCTCTGATCATAAACTGTTCTCCCAATACCCCACTACAAAGGGTATTGAACTATGTATTAAATCCTAATTATTTCTTCCTGTAACTACTGCCTAAAGTCCTAAACAATGTCAAATTATTCTTGTGTATACTTGAAATATACTTACAAAATATAAATGGGCAAAAATATATTCAGAAACATAAATATCTATAATTCTTAATATATTACCACTCTCACTATAATAGTAAAGTTTCAATATATTAAATTAAATACTTAGAAACATCTAATTATAATATTATGTCCTCTGGATACCGAAGCAACTCGAGGAACGAATGAATTTTAATGATTCTTGGAATGGACGCCACCTCAATGAAATATCACTCGAACAGATTCTAAAATAACATATCCACCCTTGCTAATCGTTCAGGGAATATGGGAGGAGTTAAGTTGTGGTTCCAAGAACTATTTGAATTTGCTGAACATTTTGCTAATGAAGTACAAACTGTGAAACGGACTTTCCTAGTGATGTCACCTCAACGGCGCCCACACTTGGCTATGACCCTGAGAGCCCGGGCAACATTCTTGTCATAGTATAGCAGTTATTCCTCGCATATTAAATATATATATATATATATATATATAATATATATATATATATATATATATATATATATATATATATATATATATATATATATATACCAACTTACATGGACATTCCATCTTTACATGTCCGCCGAAAATTAACTGTTGAGGAGATTGACAAATATATACATAAACATAGATAGCTAGATAAAAAATAAATTATATTCTGGAATAAAGTCCCTTTAGAATAAAAATTATGAACAAAAAACAAAAACCATATCTGGCCAAGAACTACACTAATAAAAATTAAACAATACCTTGTAAAAATGTTACAATATATATACAACAGAAGGTAAAAACATTCTGGAAAAAAAATATAATTGAAATCACAAGAAATACTGAATCAGGAAAAATAAAAATAAAACATTATAAAAATTATGAATTGCTTATTAAAATTAAAACAAACGATTTTAACAACCATTCCCTTCAGTCAAAACTCGAATTTATTTCATGATTGTACAGCGTCATTTTGGGATGTGAGAAGGAATCGCTAAAGAAGGTATTTGAATGAGGACAAGAAAGAGATATGGCGGATATCTAATGGCTAGGAATTCAAGAAGCACTGAATCAGGTAATAAAGGAATGTTCAAATGTTTTAGTTCTATGAGAAGGAGAAGGAAGGTCGGGCTTGAACTGTAGGAGACTGTAGATGTAAGAACGGTGCCGGGAGTTCATTGTTTGGAAGAGGTAAGACCTATCTATCTATCTATCTATGTATCTATCTATCTATTATATCTATCTATCTAGACAATCCATTTTTCGTGTAAGCGGAAAATTAACTGTGGAGATAGATGGTTGAATGACATTAGTAAGACTATTAATTGCATAATCAATTCCATAAAAATGGATGAAATTGAAATGTAGACTTGAGTGTAATATTCAAACCTAATTTTAATTTTCTCACAATCATTAAAAAATAGGAAAAAACGCGTCAATAAATAAATTCATATATATATATATATGTGTGTGTGCATAAAGTTGAAAATCATTTGTTAAAGCCAAGACGTTGTCTGTCTTTTAAGATAGCTTTTTTAAGCTTTTAAGATTGCAGAGTCCGATGGTTTTAGTAATAACATTAATGTTTATGTAATACAAACCATTCAATAAATACAATATACAAGTTAACATGTAGACGGTGGCTAGATCATTTCTTATAGATAACAAATATAGCTATTAACTTGTAGTGTAATAATTATAAATAAGAGAACAGACATGACAATCAATGCAAATATATATGACTAACTATTTATCATTATTAACTATTATCTATTACATAATATTATATTTCTGTTATTATAATTTTTTCAGCCTTGTAGACCCAAAAGCTTGGGTTAACATTGATAATAAAAATATTACAAACTGACTGTATGTAGTATAGTCGATTAACTTCCTCCTGATAATTTTTTTTTGTAACGCAAAAATTTCAGAAACTAGTAGAGTACTATTCGAAGAAATATTTTTGCAAATAGGCGCGTTGTATTGACGAAGCTTTTAGGCATACAGACATCATGCTACGAAGCGAAACCAAGTCATTCAATCAAGAAAACTTTAGGCAATCACGGAAGCCTATCTCTCCGTAAATATCGTTAACGGCCACAAACTACGCAAACGAGACAAAATTTTAAGCCAATTGGAGTTGACTTGAGGGACAAATATATTTTCTTACAAACAACTAAACGTTCCCTTATCCTAGTATCTGGCCAAGGCATAGATCAATAAAATTGTTCTTTCAATATTTCTTGATGTCTATTGGGAGTAACTATTTCTTATGATTCTTGTTGGAAATTTCTCTACCATTTATTTCTGACATCTTCATTACTCATTATCAAGTATAGCAGCTTCTCTTTTTTCATTTATTAATTATTGTGTCGTGTTATCGTTCATTCGATTTATTTATGTGTATTCTATATTTTATAACCTATAAAAATTGTTCAATTTTAATTCTTCTACCTTGGATTATTTTGTTTATTTTATACTTATTGTCTGTTTCAAAAAAAAATAAATAAAAATAATAATAATAATTACCTATTTCATGAATGTATTTTCGTTTTTCTTTATATTAAATATTTTATCCTTCATAGTTTTCAGTTTTTTATTTAAAAGAACTTTAACACCATTAGTCATAAGTCGTCACCAAAAATGAGTGTTTGCCATCTCCTGCCCTGCAAATCTTATTCACGCATCCCCTGTTCATCACCCCCTCCTCAACTCCCTCATACCTGGTTCTCCTCAAGCGACCTTTCTTCCGTTTCCTTTCCGGTTTCCAATCCCAAATTCGCTTAGGCCATCGTCCCTCTTCCATCCTCATCAAATGGCCATACCACTCATAGTTTCAATGGAATGGAGGATGTTCTCAATTTTGTCCATTCGTTTCCTTATTTCATTGTTTGGAACTTCTTGAAGGTGAGAGAAACCACATTATCGCCTCCAATAGTCCGTTTCTAAAGCTATCAGTCTTTTTGATTGACTCTCTTTAGTTGCACACGAGTCGACTGAATAGTTTTTAATCTTTAATTAATATTTTCATTTCTCTCACGAAATTCTATTTTGATTCTAAATATTTACTAATGTTAGTGTATGAACTCCTCTACATCCTGCCACCTATCTTCTTTTTAGTATTGTTATCCAGCCTATCTATCATATTTCTAGACATAGTATAAGTGCGTCCCTAGAAGAATCTTGTTGTGGCTTCAACAAATAATATTGATTTATATTGTGTTAATCATACTTTTTATTTTACTACTTAAAATACGACCAATCTGTATTAACACCAAGGTCTTTCCATACCAAATCATTCAGGGGCTGACACCAACTTCTTGTTTTTAACACACCTATATTTTGAAAACGGCTCGTTGGATTAGACCCAACTTTGAAGGAAATACAGAGAATAGTGTGGAAATTACCTTGTATCAATTTAATTGAATTCTATTCAACAATTAAAATTAACATAAATAACTTTATATTATGTTAGGGAGGTTACGTTCATAGTATTGTTTTACGAAGTTATAAAATTTTAGATTGTATTCAAACAATTTAATTGAAATTGGATGTTTTGTCGTTTACATATTACACTGTGGTTACAAAAAATTTCATGTAATTTTCAGAGATTTTGAGGGTTGAAACTTAGATGGTCCAATATAGATTTTGCCGAATCGCTTCACCTGCTTTCGCTTAGGTGTACGATTTTCATTTGCAATATGTACCATGTATTTGTAAATTTAAATTAAATTTTGTACAGAATGTGAAAAATATCGTCGTATTTGTGAGTTGAATGAGAAATGCTTTATTAAATAAACATAAAATATAAATTTTCAAAATACATAGAATATTTGTACGGCATGATTATTCGTCCGCCGGAAATTTTATATGTTTTACAGATACGGTACAAATAAAGACTTTATTTGTTATATTTGTTAACATATATTTGTTATCTGTTAACAATTACATATATATGAATAACTGCCAAATAATAGAACAACTAATACAATATAAAATAATACATATTTTGAATAATTTATGTCTAAGAAATAATAATAAAGGAAAATAAGGGAAATCATAAACAATAACATGAATAAAACTGACCACAAATAAATTAGACGGATCATTGTTAATGCTGGATGTAGCAAATTAAAACGGTTTATCCATGGATGTCGAGAAAAACCGACCATTTTACGATATTCGTTCGCAGGGACATTTAAAAGTGAAATTAGGATATGATTTCGAAACGGGCTAGTTCTTAGGAATTCGATACGAATTTGACCAAGCAATGAACATTCAGCTAAAATATGGAACAGGCCCTCCTTTACTGGTAGGTTACAGAGTGGACAATCCGTTTATTTTCTGTCAAGGCATGGGATGGAATTCATATAAAGGGGTTCACACATGAGCTTGAATAACCAACTCAAATCGCGCCCAGTCAAATCCCAACAGCAGCCATCCATGAATTTCAAAATGTTAAGATCATGACTCAATTCCCTACATATTTGTGAGTTTCTCTGTCCCTTTTAAAGTTCAACCTACTGATTCTAGTCTCGATTTTCCGCTCTAACCTCAAAGTGGTAAGTGGCTTTGTTCCAAATTTATTCGAACTAATTATAATTGAAGTGTAGTATGTAAGCATCGATAAGTATTAATTATGTGTAGGCCTTCATTTCCTGTATTTTGTTAACTTCATTCATATTTCTTCTTGAATAATTTTTGTTCTATCTGATTTAAAATGTCAGAAAATTTGGTGAGGAAGCTATACTGAACTTATTTACTGAACTTACTTAAAAAGGCAGACTTTTTTTATTTATGTACTTACTTAATATTCAAACATTTTCTTCAAGATGTGATTGGGTGTCAAGCTGAACCTTCACTGAATGATTCGGTATGGAATGGCCTACCATCCAATAAGGTTTATAGAACTTTAAAAAGCGATCTTATTTTAACAACGTTTCGACCAGCTGCTTTGCAATCGCTGGCAACAGGTCGCTGCCTTCTGGATAATGTCACAACCAGGACGCCGGTTGCCGGGGAAGGCTCGGCTAACAGACAACCTACTTAACCGACTAAGTAATTTAAATGTAATGCAAATGGAACTTATTAGAGATGCAGGCTGCTTATTCGGCTAGTGACTCTTTCTCTAATAGTGGCAATATTGTACCAGTCACGTTTAGTATTGTCTGCCGCTTTGGTTCTTTTCCATTGTCACTGTTCTGTCACCTCTGAAGGATGTATTCCTCTCCCTCTGTCTGGTTGAATACGTTGAATGTTGGATTTCAGAACAAACCCCACCCTCATTAAAAAAAAAAAAAAAAAAAAGAATTGAACCCTATAATTAGTATACATTTACCGTTCTAAGGGAGTGGGGTAGCTCAGTGGTAGGACACTGATTTTCCAATGCTTAAGATCCCGAAGTCGAATCCATTTTTCAGGAGCTGTGCACGCGACCCTGATA